AATCCTCTTAAAAGTTTAGAAAAGTTGAATGGCCCGGCATAAATTTGAAACATTACCAATTTTGATTTCTTTCATTTTTGACTTCAGAAAGTTATATATTCTGGTAGTGTTTTTTTTTAAAAAAATAGTACAGCAAAGGCTTAAGCTGTAATACGGATAACATAATTTTGCCCCAATTATTTAGTACTAATCTCAAAGCAAGAATGATAATATTTTGATTAGCACTAGCAATGTAAAATAAATGAGCAAGTTTGTGCTAATACAATTTAGCAGCCCCTTGACAAAGGAAAGAGGAAAACAATGAATCATATTTTACATGTCAGTTTTTTTTTAAAAAATACTCTTAAGTAGAACTAGATTTGGCAATGAAGCACACAGAAGATGGATGGGAAGCCTCCTGTCCTGTTTGCTGTGGTTCTGCTTAAGCCTCTTTTTCCCCTCTGTTGTTCATCCCAAAAGGACACTGCAGCTGTTTTTCTGTAGAAAGGGTAGAATTGTTTGAGGTTGATTTGGGAATTATCTCTCAGGTCTCTTTGATTGGAATATGGGGACTGTAATCCACAAAATTGGATACTATCACTAGCCCTATTCAGGGATAGAACATACAGCTAGTCCTCGAGTTACAGCAGTTCATTTAGTGACCATTCAAAGACAGTGGCAATGAAAAAAGTGACTTACTGTTCTGACCGAGGCTTCCAGAGAGCATGAAGCAAACTTCTTGTCCTGACAAAAACCCCTTTTCTTAACTTACTGTGAATTCTGCTCATTCACATCCACAAAGTCTTTGACCGGAGAATTCACAATCACAGACCTTCTCTGGCTTGGACACCTGACAGGCCGATATCTGCAAAACTTGGCAAGGAGCCTTGGAGAGTCACAAACCAATTAATTGAACTAATTGTCTCCTGCAAATTCCACTCCCCTTTCGCTCATCTTTTATTTCCTCTGGGAGGGGCCATTCATCGTCCACCTGTGGCCTTACTCCCAAATCGACCCTTGTTCCTTAGCTGTTCCCTTCATCTGGCAACTCTGCGCATGCTCACACTGGGAACAGGCTCCAGCTGTTCATCTGCCTCACTGATGTCTGACTCTGAAGGCAGCTGATAACTGGCATCCGGCTCTGGTCTCCTCTTTGCTTCTGACACAGAGCCCTCATCAGAGCCTTCCACAAACTCCAGGACTGGCCCATGTTCCTCCCCAACTTCTTCACTGTCTGAATCTGCTGCCAGCTCTGCTGGCTGGCCATAACACTTAGAACTGTTTTTCAGTTACAATCTTTGCAGCTTCCCCATGATCACGTGATCAAAATTCAGACGCTTGGCAACTGGTTCATATTTTTGAGAGCTGCAGAGAGTCCGGAGGTCACGTGATCCCCTTTTGCGACCTTCTGACAAGCAAAGTCAGTGGGGGAGCCAGATTCACTTAACAACCGGGTTACTAACTTATCAACTGCAGTGATTCGGTTAACAGCTGAGGCAAGAAAGGGTGTAAAATGGGGCAACAGTCACTTAACAAATGTCTCGCTTAGCAATGGAAATGTTGGGCTCCACTGTGGTCGTCAATCAAAGACTACCTGTACAGTAAAGAGCCGAGGTGGTGCAGTGGTTAAATGCAGCACTGCAGGCTACTTCAGCTGAGTGCAGTTCTGCAGTTCGGCTGTTCTAATCTCACCGGCTCAGGGTTGACTCAGCCTTCCATCCTTCCGAGGTGGGTAAAATGAGGACCTGGATTGTTGTTGGGGGCAATATGCTGACTCTGTAAACCGCTTAGAGAGGGCTGAAAACCCTCTGAAGCGGTATATAAGTCTAACTGCTATTGCTATTGCTATTGCTAATTGAGCCCTCCTATTACTGTGCGAAATTGTGACAGTTGTGAATTTATGACTTTTTATGTGGCTGTTGTTCAGCGCAATTGGACAAAGCTGAAGCTTTCAGGCAAAGCATTGTCCAACTACAGCTGTGCAAAACTGGAAGGAATGGCGTCAAAAATGGCATAAAATACACTCATGACCACAGGACGCTGCAAATGGCTATAAATGCTGTGTTGCTGAGTGTCCAAAACGAAGCCACATGACTGCGGAAGTTTGGAATGGCCCGAAATGCCCCCTTTTCAAATAGGTCATAACTTTGAATGGTTGCTAAGCAACTGGTCGTAAGTCCAGGACTACCGTACTACCGATATCTGTACTGGAAGAATTTCAAGAATACAAAGTTGCACAATCTTTTATTTTTCTGATATCAATCAGAATGAATGAGCAAAAGCTCTTTGGAACTATTGCTTTAGTCCATGGGTCGGCAAACGTAAACACTCAAAGAGCCACAAAGGTCCTAACCAGAAGCCCCCTCTTCATTTCTGAAGCTGACCGGAAGTCGGGTTCTCCCACCATAGAGTCTCCTCCTAGCGCAGTGTCTTTTTTCCTCTGCCGACCAGAAGTCCCGTTCCCCCACAATAGAGTCTCCTAGTGCGCCATCCTTTTTCCTCTGCCGACCGGAAGTCCGGTTCCCCCACCATGGAGACTGCTAGCGTGGCATCCGTTTTCCTCTTCCTGTCCTAACTGAAAGCCCTATAAATTGTGGAGCTGACTGGCAACAGGGAGCCTCAGCAGAGGAATGAAAAAGCCACATGCGGCTCCAAAGCCATGGGTTGCTGCCCCCTGCTCTAGTCAAGTTAGATTATTATGGTATTTTATAGTGGACCATTTCTGAAAGGATTGTGAGAAACTGCATGGGCGTGTTCATGTAGTCACCCTGAATCAAGACTGATTGGCGGTAGCACCCAGAAACACAAAAATTATATTAATATATGTATGCGCCTGAGGAGGAAATAACTACAAGTGTGAAATTTGATGTTATCCAAGACAATCGGGACATCTTTAATGTTATTTGAATTTCATAGTTAGTCTATTTGTTTTAGCATGAATCAGAAGCTGTTTTTAGAGAGTTGCAAACTTAAGATACAGATCGCATTTCAACAAAATACTTATTTTGAGCCCTCCTTTTCTCTAAGAGGAATTCAAGGGAAAATAAGCTTTTTATACTTTTCCCTTCTCTTTTTGTTCCTTGTTTGTGGAATTAATATAAGTAAGATTAGTGTAATTCTTGACACCCAAGCAAGTTAATTTATTTGCTTATTTATATGAGGAAATATGAGGAAATTTTGGATGTTTCCACTTGTGAGTTGAATGCTGAGACATAGATACAATTCCTGTAAACTTTGTGTAATGCTACTAACATTGATATGGATGTTTTGTCCTAAGTGTAAACAGTTTCATTAGTCATAAGGACTTTGTATATTTTTAGGCATAATTCTTTCAGTAACACAACAATAATGTGTATCCATTGCTACCAGTTCAGAAGGCAGCTTATAGAGGGGAAGCAGAAGAAGGCAATCATGTTGTCTCCTTTTAACTGAAATGCAGGAGAGATTTCATTAGATACAATTTCATATAAGAAAAAAATAGTACCGTTGATAATTATGGTTTTCTAATTACTAAATGTGATCCAGCATCTCTTTAGGTGTAAGTCATAAGTTTCTATTTATTTCTATTTTTCAAGAAACTTTTTGGGATTTGTGAACTTAACAGAAATATACATATTTTATAAATGCGAATGTTTTGTTTAATTATATTAGTTTCAAATGCATTTTCCTTTATGTTGACTAACCATCTCTCTCTCTTTCAGTAAATCTAAATGTTTTGTTTATCTTAACTGATCACCAAACATTTGCTTTTGTTTTTGCAGCTGCAATTTTAAATATAGTTTTATGCAAGTTAAATACCAACGATTATGTTCCAGTTGCTTAAAACTCTGCTTTATATCTTCTAGTTTTCAGTTTCTCTTACCTACATTTTCTCTTGCCTCTATATAATAGGTTCGATCCATGGATGAATTAAATCATGATTTTCAAGCACTTGCTTTAGAAGGAAGGGCGATGGGGGAGGTAAGTAGGTGTTTTTATTCTCTTGATCTTCCTCCAGTAAAGCCAGTGCTCTACGTTGTCTCCATAGGACAAATGACCTGATTTAGGCTTCATTTTAGAGATGGAACTAGAGATGAAACTCTTGCACTGCTTCTAGGAATATTACCTTTTGCCAGATTTTGTATTAGTAATACTTTATTGATTAGCCATTAGACCAAAGCAGAATACAGAATGTAAAACACAGAACAATAATTAAAATAAATTAAAAATAGAATAAAAGAAATAAGTATTGTAAAAGAAAATGCAAATCAAATCTCCATGTCACCTTACAATTTACCTCAAATTAGAACCACTTGTACTATTTTGTTCAACTAAAAAGCCCTACTATATGTAATTTTGGGGTTCTGATTGCACATGAAATCTATTGTTTTAATATAAGAATCCCAGTAGGCCATTCATCTGACCTGCAGTCCAAGTTACTGCTTCCTCTCTTTCTTATACTATTGACATTCAGGTAAAATATGTGTTATGTCTTCTGTCTCTGGGGCTCCTCAAATACAAGTGTATTCATTATAAGGGATTTGGTTAAGCCTTCCTTATTTAACAATTGCGTCCAGCTGCTCAAATCTTGCTTGAGTAAATAGCCCCCTAAGGCGTTTGGCATTTCTGTACTTAAATACTTGAAAGGTGTGTTTATAGTGGCTCATCCATTTCAATGTGCTAGCCGTCCAAATGTTACATTTTTTCCCCTTTCTGTAAAAGGACTGCATATTTACAAAACTACATTTATGACCTTATAGAATAGGTTTCCTATTTATTTTTTATTCCTCATAGTAGGTTGTGTGAGGCTGTGAAGATATTGCTGGCTGTAAAACGAAATGATATTCTTTGTTGTTTGGTTTTGAATGCAGAGAGAAGCATTAGTAAGCCTAAATTTATGATATAACCTGTTGTGTATGAACTTAGCCAATTGTGGCTTATTCAGTAAACTATAGTTAAGCAAATTATATGTGTGCGTGAACTGCTAAATGATGATTAATGCTCCTTTTCTATCCCAGTCTAGCCTGGGTTTCTTCAAATGTTTTAGACCAGGGGGGGTCCCCCAACCCCCAGGCTGTGGACCTGTACCAATCCGCGTCCTGTTGTGAACTGGGCTGCGCAAGCGATGGGCGAGCATGCGAAACTTCACTTGCGCATGCGCAAGAGCTAGGTTGTGTGAAACCATCCCCTTTTCCGCCACTGTACCTGTTGGTCCATGGAGCCGGAAAGATTGAGAATGGCTGTTTTAGACTGTAACCTCTGCCATCTCTGACTGTTGGTCCTGCTTTGAGGAGCTCATTGGAGTTTTAGTCCATAATATTTGAAAGTAGCCATATTGGGTAGGACTACCTGTTTTCATGTATATATTTTTAATTCCAAGTATGAGTGTTTTGTTTTAAAGGTGCCTTTTATAGTATCAAACCTGTTCAGCTCAGTATTATATTCCTGAACTAGTAGTGGCTTTTTCAAATATTAAGGGAATAGAAAAGAGAAAAGGCCCCTCTCCTTTTATTGTCTACTGGTTTGTCCGTGTGTGAAATAAAAAAGTAAGAAATTGAACATGGATATATAGATGCCAGAAAATAAATATATTTACAGGGTAAATATACAGGTATACAGGGTAGCTATTCCTTTCTAGATGAATGGTTTTGGAAAAAGAAGACTTTCTTATTTAAACCTTTCCTTTGACTCCTCCTAAATCTCTCATTGTTTTGCTGTGTGAAAAATTCAGCGGGCGTAAATCCTTGGAAAAAAGAATCAAGACGGTGAGGAAGAGGTGTTTTATAATTTAGTGGTGCTGTGGTTTGATCCAGTGTACAAATAATAATAAAGCAGGGGTACAAATAGATAAACTAAACAGTGTCATTTTGTTTTATTATACGGAATAGAACATGTTCATTGGAGTTATTACAAGAGTTAACAGACTCCCTTATGGTAACCTCTCAAGGGAAACCAGCCAAAGTCCAGCTAAATCTGAGGAACCATCTCTTGCCAGTCACATCTACCTGACCCATCAGAGCGGGGAGGCAGAGAATGTTGTGGGTCCCATCCCCTAGGGTGATACATCTGGTGGGACCCAGAAGAAGGGCCTTATGCGTGGTGGCTCCCTTTCTCTGGAGCACCATTCCCCCAGAGATTAGTATGGCCCCTACTCTAATACTCTTCCGAAAGGTGCTGAAGACCTGGTTCTGCCAGTGGGTCTGGGGAACCCAGAGTGGGATGGAGCCCATTAAATGGCTCATGTGATCTGGTGTTGCCATGCTGGGGGGTGATTTTGTTATATTGTACTATATTAATTCTTTTTGTTAGTTTTTATTGTTTTAAATGTGGTTTTATATTCTGTAAGCTGCCTTGAATCGCCATGGGCGAATAGGTGGCAATATAAATTCAATAATAAATAAATAAATAAGTTTTGAGTGTATTCTCCTTATGATTGCCACAGAGGCTGTCAGTATTTCTTAAAATTTCCACGAAGCTCAGACCAGTTTTATGGGCAAAGTTGTGCCGTTGCAGCATCTTCCGCAGTCCCATGATGGTGACTTCCAGTGCTCCCTGCCAGCTTCCCACAAGCAAAGTCAATAGGGATGCTGGCAAGAAGTCAGAAGTCACTCCTGCTTCCACTGGTTTTTTTGCCCGCCTGAGGTAACTAAATATTGACTTATCATTGAAGTTTATTTGCCACTATAATTATTTCTCTATTTATGGTCTACAGTATACTCTTCACAGGACGGTCTAGCATTGGGGTTAAAAATATATATATGATCAGCCTTGAGTTCAGTATTCTAGTCATAACAGACACCCACTACCTTTCTTTCAAAGGATAATCCCATTTTTAATTGAAAAAAAACTTAATTTAAAAAAACCTAATATTTAAAAATTCTATATAGATTTGTTCCATTAATAGCAAAATTAAACTAGCAGCTTTTTCATAACCACTTTTTTGAAAAGTGTAACAGGCTTGAAGGACTACTTCTTAGTAACTTCTGGCTACAGACCTTCTGAGTAACATTGCCTTAAACCAGCAGCCCTCAAACCTTTGGTTGCTAAGGACCGGGTTCCATGTTGGGTGTTTTTTCCACAGACCAGGGAGCGTGATTTTGTGTGCTGTCTGGATCCTGTGTGTGTGTGTGTGTGTGTGTGTGTGTGTATGGGGCTTTGATCGCTTGCGCAACCTGGTTACTAGTGGGTTGCGGGCCGTGGGGGGTGTGTGTCTCTGCCTTAAAGTGCTATTCCATAGGCCAGTGATGGCGAACCTTTTTGGTACTGAGTACTGCGCCCCCTAAAAGCTTAACTTCTGGGTTCTGGTGCACATGTACACCTGACAATCAGCTGACCGGTGTGCATGTGCACACCGGTTTTTGGCACTGTCACATGCACAAAGAACAGCCGATTGTCACATGCAGGTCAGAAACCCGGAAGACAAACAGGTAAGGCCATGGATGCCAGGTGACATGGCTTCAGGTGCCACTTTGGGCACGCGTGCCATACGTTTGCCATCACAGCCATAGCCCCATGTGGAAATGGCTGGAGATCATGTTCTCAAGTATGCCTTCCACATAGAGTAGAAAACACAAGTAAGTTGGCCTTTGAAGGTTCTAAAATCTTCCGCCCAGCATTGCTTTGGATAGTGAGATGGGCAGTATATAACTTTACTAAATAATAAAACAAAAATAAAACAAGAGAAGTAGGCTACTTGAACCTCTTTGTATGATGTTATTGAAACTTTTAAAACCATTTTTTGAGTTTTGCCCGCAAGCAATATGCCAAAAGCACCAAATTGCCATATGCCTTAGCTACAGGAGATCCAGAGACAGCTGCTGGTAAACTAAGTAGAAAGTTGACCAATAAATGCTATTTGCTCTTGGATTCAAGATAGACTTTTGATCAATGCAGTATTAAGAAATGGAGGTGGGTTCAATTTGATTCTCTGCAGCCTTTTTTTTAAAATAAAAAAAAAATCCTACTTTGTTTTGCAAAGCAGTCTGGGCGATATAGGGAGACTGAATTAGGGAGAGGCTTCCTTATCCTAACTAACAGATAAAGGATTGGCTTTCCTTTGAGGCATCTCCACCCAGGCTCTTTCTGCGCCTTGCCCTGTAAAAGCAAAGTTAAATGCTGATAAGAAACAGTTATGCCTAGCACCAGCAGGTCTGATCTTCAGTCAGTTTCTGTAGTTTATGGCTGCATGATGAACTGTTCCTCGACGTGGTAGAAGAAAAGGGCTTTGAGGAGGGGAAAGGCAGTTATCTTTCTTTCTTTCTCTGATGGAAGAATGTGTTCAAGAGTTTTCAAGTTGCTGAAGAAATTCCTTATTAGAGGAACCTTTATTACTCCCCCATCCCAAACATTTCTATTCCCTACATGTTAAAATCCAGTCATGTGGCTCTCAAAAGAAAATCTTTCCAATACGGGAAATGATGAGCACAGAATTTATTGCAATAATATGTGGCTGTTGTGAGGACAACTTGGTGAACTTGTGAAGGAAAATATATTTGCTTGCGTGGACGAAAATGATAACAAGAGAAAGTTCTGAATGAAAGCAGCAGTGAGGTTTGCACCAAGAATCAGCCAGAATATCGGAGAACACAGTTTATTTTTAGAAGTAAGTAGCCCTAATCTTGACTCTCCAATTTTGCTCCTCCTTTGCATGCAAACCAAAAATTAAATGCTCAGTAGGATACTGGGAGAGGTAGTCCTATACATCGGGAAATTGAAAAGTGTAAAAATATCTAGTGAATGGGATTTATGCCTTGTTGCTTCCAGAAATGCCATGATTCCTCAAACATAACTAATCTCGATCATGATTCTGACTTGTAATTGGGCGCAAGGCTCATTTTTAATAGGTTTGGCAAGTGACATGAGTCAGATGTACCAAGATAGGTACAGATTAACTTGCCTGCAGCAGGGGCAGTTTGTTCATGGCAATCCACAAATTTCCACAGTTTCAGTAGCAGTTTACTTTAATTAAACCTTGGAAATTACCTTAGGTGTCTCCTGGTTTTGAAACACTTTAACCGTCAGAGGTTGTGGGTGATTGGTGACTTGGCTATGGATAGCATATCTAGTGGTGAGGCTGCCTTACCCATTTGCAGTATTTGTGAATATTCTACCCATATTTTATTTTTTGAAAGCATAAATTGTACAGCCAAAAATGGCGATGAAAAGCTGCCATAGTTGTGGTTTGTTCCATGCATTTTGCCAGACCAGACTTTGGTATTTGAAGTTTGGATTAATTAAATATAATTAATCTGTTTGAATAGAAAGCCAAGAATCTGGAGTTATGAGCAATTTAGTAGCTTTGTTCTTGCAAAACTTGTCTTAAGGAGAAGTCTTCAGGAAGTTCACTAAAACCACATTGTGCATTCTCCTGTGAGAGTTTAAGTTGTTATTTTTTAACTGGAAAGCAGAAGGAGGACAAAATGTTGAAATATGGAGCAATCTCTTATCTGGTAGTCTGGTAGTTCCATAGCCTTACCAGCCTTAGGTTTTCATTATTGCAATGTTTTTTAAAATCTCTTATCTTAACCAATTTCGTACATGATGTACAATGACAATAAAGGCTATACTAATCTTTTCACCTGAACCTGCTAACTTCATGTTGCTGGAGCTATTTTGGCTTCATATGACTGGTGTTCAAAGAACTGAGATTGCTGTTAGTGTAAATCGTGGTGCCATCCACACAAATAAATTGTATGATTGAGTACAGATGGTCCTCGTTTAAACAACCACTTGTTCAGCAACCATTTGAAGTTATGAAGTGATCTCATCAACTGAAATCTACTAACCAACCAGGTAAAAAACGATAACATTGGTAGTAACAAGTCCTGTTTCTCATAATCATGCAGACTTCTCCCCAAGGCAGTTTGGTCTAGTGGTTAAGGCACCAGCCTCGAAAACAGGAGACTGTGGTCTCATCCTGCCTTAGGCATGAAAGCTGGTTGAGTGACTTTGGGCCAGTCACTCTCTCTCAGCCCAACCCACCTGATGAGGTTGTTATTGTGGGGAAATAGTAGGAGGAAGGAACATTAAGTAGGTTTGCCAAATAAAAAAGACAGGATTAGAAAATCTTTTTTTTAAAAAAATTCCCTACACCTACGTTCACTGAAGAATAAAATATTAACTTGTTGTATGTGTATAATAGAATGCTTTCTTTCTTCAGCTTCAGGTTTTAAACTTTGACTGATAAATGTATAATTTATGTTGATACTCAGTAAAAGACACTGCTCATACATCTGAATTACTACATAATCCCTGAATACTCGGCTTTCAGTATCACCATAGTATG